AACTTTCACGAGAATGAATGCATTTGATATATTCTCTAGACGTGTTTGAAGCAGCACTATCCTATTTTCTTTACATTTCCCTCGTCCAATAGACATGCGTATAGTTGGTAAAATCTCACGATAGGTCATGACGATCTCGCATTATTAGTTTGTGCACAGTATGAATAGTTTCCGCTACACTAATATTGGCAACCTTCACGAAATTCATCTTGCGGTGATGCAGGACCACAATTCAACGTCAAAAATTTAACTAAGTTGATGGAAGCACTGTTGACTTGGATTAAGTCGAAAGTTGTATAAAATAATAACGCAAAAATATTCGCGATTTAATTCAAGTTTTTTGGCCAAGATGAATATTTTAAGGTACTGTAAAAAAACACAAGAAACGCTCTTTTGAAAATTAGCTCATTTTCTTCATATAATTTTTTATCCACTGAAAAATTTTGTTTTCTATTTTCTGATTGCATGGCGGTTAATTTAAAAGTTACAAAAAATTGCAGTTTTCGGAATTTACAGAAAAAATTTAATGAGATCTGCAATATTAATTTAATTTTATGGTATACCTTCATGCAATGCAAAAAAGGGGTCTTAAGTGAGGAAGATCGTTCTGCTTAAATTATCTGAAATCCAAAAACCAAAAATGTTATTATAACTATATAATAGATGATCAAGGGACTTGTCAAAATTTTGGTTTCCAACAAATGTCGATTTTCATGAAAAAGTTTTTACTTCAGAATTTTCGAAGCCACTTCAAAAGTATTCGCAAAAATCTTATTTTTTATCATAACCTAACAAATATGTATAAGCAGATCGTGTCATATTTAAATTAATTTCAAGACAAACGCAAAGCCTACGATTGGTACAAAGCCTTCAAAGACGGTTGAGAGATGGCTCGCTCTGCACGACCTTCGACTTCTTCATCTAAAGAAACTATAAAAAAAAAGTGAAGAATATGGTACTTGAAAATCGCGAGGCAAGGGTCAGAGAGTTCGTTCGACTAATTTTGGCAGATATATTGGGTATGAAACGCGTTCTCGTTACGATAAAAGTGATACCGATAACAAGTCTATTTGGACATGCTAGATCGTGCAAATTCCGATCCCACATTCGTGGAGAGCATTACTACCACCAATGAGACATGAGTTTATAAGTTTGACATGCAAGCAAGTCAACAATCGTCGGATTGAAGGGAAAAACACGAGCCGAAACCAAAAAATCACGCCAAAGACTCTCTGAAATCAAAGTGATGCTGATTGGTTTTGTCAATATGAGTGGTTTGATGCATAATGAATTGGTTCCGGAGGGGACCAACAGTCAGAACATCCGTCGAAAGCTCCCGTAATTGTGGGAGAACAATTCATGGATTTTACACGATGATAATGCACCATCCAATCGAGCCACGATTGTGACCGAATTTAATGTCAAGTACGCAATGAATACCATCGATCAACCAACGCATTCAACAGATTTAGCACCTTGTGATTTTTTCTTGTTCCCCAAACTGAAATTGCCGCTCCGTGGAACCTGTTTTCGGTCGATCGAAGAGATTAAACAAAAAATGGCCGAAGGAGCTGAAGGCCACTCCAAAAAGTGCTTATGAAAAGTGTTTCGAGGACTGGAAAGATGTTTGCCATAAGTGTACTAGATCTTTCAATTCGGAACAATTTGATATTATCTTATTGTGCTTAAAAATTATCAGGAATAATATAAAATGTGTGTAATTCACGTTCAAGAGAAAGATGGAGCTTTTAATTATTTTCAGTTTAAAATATTAATATAGTGAAAAACATCCGCATCCTCATTGCAACTCCCTGTATTCGAATTATAACATGTTAAGTTGGCCAAGGCGTGCGAAGCAGCGCCTTGCGTGTTTATGCGTTGTCCGACACAGCGCGACCATGCTGTGTATATTTACATTTGTAGTGCTGTAAAATAGAACACAAATCTAATTCGCTTCATTTGCATGCCATCTGCATATTTATTTGCATATTTCTGCGAGACATTGGGCGCTGTCTAGTGGTTAATGGCAGCAAATCTGAAAAATATGAACACAAGTGTACACAGCACAAGGCACAGTACATGCGAAGCGAATACACTAGGGTCACATGACTTTTCTGTGCCAACACACATTGTCCAGTTTCTAATGAATCTGATTTGGCCGCATGCAAAGAAAATCATAACATACGAGCGAGAGTAAGTGTGCCAAGTGCAGGCGTCGCCGGCAAACAGCGAGCACAGCCAAGCCGAGGACGGACGGACGAACTTAGCTTAGCGGGTGTTGTTGTTGTTTGCAGACAATTAAATCGACGTTGCAGCGACGCTGGCGGACACAGGTGCTGTAACCTTGAAATGTAGGCCATGCGCGCATGATTGCATGCCATCAAATGCAAGCGCACACACATGGTTATAAAGCTATCCCCCTATCCACCCTGGGTACGTGATAAGGTGCAGCTGTTGCAGCGCACACGACAAATGTGACAAAAAGAGAAGCAAAAAAAATTGAACACAATGCACATGCCAGTAATTTTAGTTATCCTTTCAAGGATAATAAGCCAATGCATAATGTGGCCAACATATAGTATACAATGTAGTGCCGTTAGCATTATAGCGGTTAATGCATGCAATATGCTTGCCAGCGCGCAGACGCTCAAGCGGATTTTCATTGTATTTGCTTTTATTTTATTATGATTTTTGTTTTTTTTTTTTTTTTTTGTTTGCGGTTTGAGTGGCTGTGGAAAGGTACGCCATGGCGTATACATAACCTGCAGCACACTTGTGTATAATACGAGTATTTCGGCGCAATGACACAGCCAATCACTCATACCACGCGTACAACCCGCTGGGTGCACCGAAAGCAAAAATAACAATAAAAACAATGGGACTGTGGCGTTGTGGCAGACGCGGTTCATACAATATCTTGCTGCAATCTGCATAATGCGGCTTAATGGAATATTCATGGTGTGTATTTGACATACATACATACATCAGTATATGAAGTATGCGTAAAAATTTATTACCTTTATATAAGTATATATGGCACATCAGGAAATATAATCTTAAGCCTCAAATCGCTAACATCATCTTTATAGGCATTATTCATACAAGTCAAGTTATTGGTAGGGTTGCCAAATAAAATTAAAAGATTTACTTAAGAAGTACTGTATTTGGTATATAAATATAATTAATTATTTATTATTTATTAATTTAKTATTATTATTATAATATAATTAATTATATTTATTGGAAATATAAAAAAAATTAATTTTATTAAATCTATTCGGAACTAGGCATAGTCAAAATTTTGCTATTTGACAAAGTTAGGAAAAATGTTTTTTTTTTTTTTGTTGTTTTGAAGGGTGAACGCCTCAGAGTGGCTTAGTATTTTTATCAACTATATCCGTTTTACCAGACAACTATATCAAAGGGTGTCGGTGAAAATTTCAAGACGATCGGTCGTGTATTTTCGGAGAAGTTTTTCTCACCGACTATAAAAACATTATCTCCGAATAAATGGCGTTTAAAGTTTTGGTCGCCGATTAGGAGTTAAAAAATTTCTATCAATACATCTACATATGTCGTAGAAATTATTTACCTATTCACCTTCAAATATTCGGAGAATATGCTCAAACTGAATCTGAACACTGCAAAACCACAAGCCCTTCCCACGACAGTCAGGTTTACGTAACCAGAACGGGCCCGGATTTTTATGCGGGCTGTTAACTCGGCAGATTTTCGCCGCTACAACAACAAATCATTTTTTTTTTAATTCACTAGCGATTATAACCCCTTAATTTTGCAAACTACCAGATATGGAATTATATAATTATAGAATAATATCATAGTTAATTATGTAAAAAATCTGTGTTTTTTTAAATAATATTACAATTTATT